GAGAGAAAGACCACAGAGAGAGAGACCACAGAGAAAGACCAGAGAGAGATCATTTGCAAATGTAAACAATGGTCTTTTGGATTTAGATGTAATAGTAACTCATGGTTTCTGCAGCGTTAGGGTTAGCTAACTCTAACCCTAGCCCTAACCCAGCACCAGAAAGATGCGCACATGGTTCTTTGTATTTCCTGTGTGTGTTTTTGAGTCAATGACCAACAGGGGGATTGGAGCCTTAACCCTGAGCCTCAGATTCAGGAGGGTCTCTCCCCAAACCACCTGAAGAAAGCCAAGCTGATGTTCTTCTACACGCGCTACCCGTCCTCCAACATGCTCAAGATGTTCTTTGGGGATGTCAAGGTGAGAAACCCCCCCCGCATGGACCAATCACAACACTTCATTTACACAGTAGCAGCAGAGGTGATCTCTCGCTCTCTGGTCTCTTTCTCTCTCTGGTCTCTGATCGCTCTTTCTCTTCGGTCTCTCTCTCTGGTCTGTCTCTAGTTTGTCTCCCCGGTCTCTCTCTCTCTCTTGTCTCTATCTGATCGCTCTTTCTCTTCGGTCTCTCTCTCTGGTCTCTTTCTATTTGGTCTCTCTGGTCTCTCTCTCTCACTGATCTCTCTCTTTGGACACTCTCTCTCAAACACACACACACACACCAGAGAGAGACTAAAAAGAGACTAAAGATAGAGGGACAAGAGTCCAGAAAAACAATACACACACACACCCACCCACACACACACACACTCTTGGCCGGGACACTTCCTCTTGCCTGTTTTCAGCAGCGCCATGGCAACGTGGGTCGCAGGGACAGCCGTCGCTCGGCAAACACCGAGTTGTTAAGTCTGAACCTGCCCACACCCACACACACACACACACACACACACCCACACACACACACACACACACACACACACACACATACAGACTGTATATGAGGAGTGGACTGACCGAGTGTGACATCACCAGGGTTAGCTTAATGCAGAAGAGGTTGAGTTGGAGCCTACTTCCTTATATGGGCATTTGTTCCGACAGCGTTAGCCTTAGACGGTTGCCGTGGCAAACTGGAGTTTCCCCCGCAAATCCCGGTGTCTGATTGGTCAGTCCTTATATGGCTTATATCTGGGTTTACAGAGGTCTTCTTGCGGTTGGGATGTGCCTTTGAGACCCAGGCATCCCAAAAAGACACCCGGCTCTCCTAAACTGGCTCTTTTACACGTGAAGAAGCAGCGTCTCTACTCTGAGCTCCCCTGCCGCCGAGGTGATGGTGGTAATCTTAGTCTTAGTCCAGGTCCGGTCTGTGTCCTCCCAGTCCTGTTAGTAGTAGTAGTAGTAGTAAGTAAGGTTTATTTATATACCGCCTTTTCACTGCACATCGGAGTCTCAAAGCGGTTTACAATTGTTGGGTGGGGGTGCCAGTACAGGAGGCACATGCCATACCTATTGTACATATTTTTAGTGGTAGGGGAAACCGGAGCACCCGGAGGAAACCTACGCAGACACGGGGAGAACATGCAAACTCCACTCAGAAAGGCCCTGGTCCAACCGGGATTCGAACCCAGGACCTTCTTGCTGAGAGGCGAGAGTGCTATCCACTCAGCCACCGTGCCGCCCTGTTAGGCCTCTGGCCTTGAATCACCGGTCGTTATGAGAAGCTTCCTTTCTCACAATTCACATTATATGCAAATTTGCAATCAAAATTGCGTTTTAATTGCGTTCTAATCCCACTTAATCCCGTAATTCCGTGTGGGCGGGACAGCATAATGGCTAATCCTGTTTGTGACGATCATTGCGGTGCTGTTCTTTTCGGCCCCTGGGGACTGAAAGACTGTCTTTTTGGGGTTAGCATTGTATTACCGCCTCAGTCATTAGCATAGCGGCAAATCCGGGTCACTCTCCCCCCGGTCTTGGCCTGTTCCGGGAACAATAAGTAGCATGTGTGGCAGGGATCAGCCCTGGACCCACTCTGAGGGAATTAGGGCCCTGGGAATGGGGAGACTTAATTGGACTTGAATGGAGCCAGTCTCTTAAGGATGTGGGAAGTGGGTTGAGCGGCGGCACACGCACGCCAGGCACCACTGGCCCAAGTTTCACATCAAGGTCATAGCTTTTCACTTTTATGGGTTCTCACTTCAATTTATAGCAATGAAAGGTTTTTTTAGACAATTAGACAAGTCAGTGATGTTTCGATTGAATCATTGACTTGTTTTTATGATTTTCTACACATTTATTAACCAAAATTTCGTTTTCTTCTTATTAGATGGTTTTGATAGTAAACATTGTACATGCACTTAAGAAACAGAGAGGGAACAGAGAGAGACCAGAGAGAGACCAGAGAGACCAGAGAGAGAGACCAGAGAGAGACCAGAGAGAGACCAGAGAGAGACCAGAGAGAGACCAGAGAGACAGACCAGAGAGAGACCAGAGAGAGAGACCAGAGAGACAGACCAGAGAGAGACCAGAGAGAGACCAGAGAGAGACCAGAGAGAGACCAGAGAGAGAC